GTCGCCATAAAAGCTCCTATTGCAGCGGTCTCGCGCCAGGATGAGGGAACGGAATCTACGACGTCGCGGCTGTTGCTGCGGTGCCGCAATGTGGATGTCGTGTCCCATAGCCGTGCCGCTCAACCTTACACCATAATCTTTTCAATTTTCAGTTATTTCATCTCATAAATGGCTATGCTATCGCGAGAACAATTGGACGAGTTCATTATTTACCGTACGAGAAGGAGAGTCGAAAAGTGGTAGTGAAGTATCTGGAAATATTCAAGCGTGTGTTTCCCGCACTCGAAAGTACATACTTCTTGGACCAGGTAAGGGCTCTGCCAATCTTATTCTGCACAGAGAAGATTTTCTGATTCCCCTTACATTGAGAGATCCAATAGCGCTCCATCTGATAGTGTTCTGAGACGCTATGGGCCAAGGATCTTTGCAAATTGTATTTTTTTCGTGCCAGCTTGAGCCACTCTCTACAGCAGGAAGATGTAGATTGATAATGAACAGGGGACTGAATAAAATCCTGAATAATGGCATTGTGATTAGTTCCTTAGCCACGCTTAAACCTAGATTTTGATTCAGAAATTGTCGGCTGTGGAATGAGGTGGAGCTTTATTATCTCAACTTTGGTGTGTAAATATCAGAGACGTTCTACGTGTGGCTCAGCACGGCCTCTACAAGGGAGGTCGTTCAGGGTGTGCCAAGCTTTTTCAAAATGGTTTCTTGCATGACATTGGGGCACATATGGGGACCACAGAAGCATGGTTCATTTTTCCTGAACGGCCCTCTGAATACCAGAAAAGGGGTCCCTAGTTCGATTCCTCGTGGTGACAAATTTTTGCATTTCGAGTTGACGTTTCAAAATTCGCGCAAAATGGAGTTAGCATGAATAATTAGTACCATATTCATGATTAGGACCGTCAGTAACCCTTACAAATAGACTTTGATTGAAAAACTGGTGAAAAAGGTGTGACTAGGGACCCCCTTTTCTGGTATTCAGAGGGCCGTTCAGGAAAAATTAACCATGGTTCTGTGGTTCCCGCATGTGCCCTATATCATGCAAAAGACCGTTTTGAAAAGCTTGGCACACCCTGAACGACCTCATGATTGGGCGTGGGAGCGGGACCCGAAGCCGCGTGAGCCGTGACGACTGAGGTTCTCGCACCGAAGAAATCTGACGACTAACAACCTGAGCGTTCTAAGTACATCCAAGCGCATTTTTGCCTATAAAGAACTCGTTTTCAGGATAGAATAAATGGAACACTGGTCAAATTCGCGAAACAACTCTTGTTGTGTGTACGACAATCCCAGACGGTAGGTTACTTTGTCGCGCTGCAACTGAACTAGTTACGTGGAGTGTGCTGTGCGTTCGGCTTTAATTTCTGCTCCTAAAAGTAACTGGAAGTCATTTCGACGACATTCGTATGAAACACGGTCTTGAAATAAAACAGTTTTGAAATGAAATTTGAATGATATTTGAGAAAACCGGCCAATCTTCCTCTTTACTGCCAAAAGTGATAAAATTTTAGGGGCCCAGAGGATGTGTGTCGCTAGGACAGCGTGAATTTTATTGCTTTTGGGCGCGAAATTTCTTTCGGTGCGGGAACCTCAGGTCCACTCCTGATCAGGTTTGGACTTGGAGTTCACGCAAAAAAGGTTCGTTGTGAAAAGCTGAAAAAATCGCTTTCTGTTCTAGCGACCCACAGCCGGGTCCAGATGGTTTTGACGAGATCAGGAATTGGAGGACGTGCTAGAGCAGGGCGTTACCTTTAGCTGGGTCGTTAGCTATCGAGCCCCGCAGAGCCCGTGTTCGGTGGGTCCGCGCCGCACAAGGCAGAACGGCCGAGAAATCGCAGCGCGTGCATGTGACTATTGCGCGTCAAGTTCAATAGAATGTACCATTGCACAGCAGGTACTGCGACTCTTCTGCTTAATTTGCCTCCTTGCCGCGCGACGGGCCTCCTGTCGAGTACTCCCTTCAGCAATTAGCGCGACGTTTGCTCAAATTATGATTTCAACGTTCACAGTTCAGGCTTATGAGCTATACGGACAAATACCTACTTCTGGACTTTTCCTGGGCACAAAATCCACGCTATTTCGAAGATATTCTAGAGGAAATTCGCGACATTCTCGAATTTTCACCCACCGTTGTCAGCGAGGGAAACCACTTGCTGGATAATCTCAAGGTGTAAGTTTCTGGATTGTTTTGCTTGGCTTTATCAAGGATCATAATGATCAATGAAGATCATATGATTTGAAGGAATGGTGAATTCTAGAAATGGTACACGGTCCGCGAACGATTCTTCGTTCTGGAACCATCCTTATCAAAATGCTCTATGCATTCATATTCGACGAACCGATTTCCTGGAGCGGAACATCTCCACCAACATGATGGAAACGGTATATGCAGCCAACGATATCGCTCAAGGAAAAGTAGGTATTGCTGTGAACTGCGTGCTTTGACACCTCTGCGATATCAGAATCTATCCAGAATTATACACCTGTTCAGGGTCTCGAACGATTTGTGATATTCGGTGACGATAAGGAATTCATGCAAAATCTGTCGCACGTGATCATCGAGAAAGGAAACTGGAGGCCAGACGTAGGTGCTTTCGAATTACCATCAACTTTAAATTTCTTTGGCTACAAATCTGTTAGTCTGTGAGCTTCGTCGTTCCATGAAACAACTTCGTAACTCATTGAACTGAAGTTTTTCCTCATACATATTTTCTTTATTTTTCTTTTATTTTCTCCTGTATGATTGACCTGACCTTTCGTTAACGAATGTGAAGAACGGATTCGAAGAAGTTTGTAGATCTGAACAACCCATAGCGTTTTACTCACCTATACAATCAGCAGTACGGGGAATGAATTGATTGTTTTTCTTTTGTGGCGTGCTCCGATGACAGCATTCTGTAATGGAGTGAAGAGGGACGACACCCTCATACGTAAGCCTTAGGAACGCACAGTCAAGCTGAAATTCTCGTTTCCTATGAGATCGATCTTTATTTCCATTCCCTCTTACACCAATACTTACTACAACAAATGCTAGCAGTACCTAATGTATTGAAGAATTGGCGGCAACGCCGGCTCTTGCTCGTTCCTTCGCCGCCGCTCTTACTTCAATGATGTCACCAACACGCGAACGCGTCCGCGTCACCGGTGAGCTTTTCTACGGAGCCTGGTACTGGGAAGGGAACTGGTGACTCAATTGGTACAAACTGAACGCACAGTTGCATTAGACTGGTCCAGTGGAATTTTCGATGGTTCTTTCTGAACAGGATCAATGGTTCTTTTGGGCAAAATGCAGCAAGTAGGGGCAACACAGATCTACTACGGGGGAGGACTAGCAGTAATCCCGAGCGTTCACCCAAGCGTTGAGCATCACGCTACTACTATAGAGAGTCAAATTTTCTAGGAACAACGATGTTCCTGTAAAAGCTATCGTAAGCATACTTCCTCGATGTATGTCCTTATAGCGATTGCCTGGATGTGATTATTTTGGACGTTAGTGTAACTTAGAGGGGGGGGGGGAGACCGGACGACACATTGTTGTGCGGAAAGCTCAACCATACTCTGCAGTCGCCCACCCCCACTAGCGACGAACGCTAGGAGGATTAGTGAAGGGTGAGTAAGCAATTCGTTTCGAGGTTCATCTTCTCACTTAAGCTGAGTTGCTTACGAGGGCCTTCCCTCCCCGAGTGTACTAGTGCCCTTATTTTCCTATAACAAACACCCTAAAGGCCACCTTCCTTGACAAATCTTCAATGCCCTGCAACACACTACGCTTTATAGGACCCAAGTCCTCCCTGTGCAGCATGGCCTGAAGTGAGGACAGGGAGAAAAAAGCCTAAGGCGACCTTTTAGCTACAACGCTATAATAAATATTTTAAACCGAATTGGATAAACGAAAAATTCTGCTCACGAGGTGCGTTGAAGTTTCCATAATTAGAACATATGCGAGATACATGAGTAAAAAGTCCTAAGTACAAGCTCATTGGCTAGTAGCTTCATACTACATGTCGATGTTGGACAATAAGAAGTTTCAAAATATCAATAATATATATCAAATTAAATATCAATATCAGTTACTTGGACAGCCCCTTAGCAAGGGTAAAAGATTCGATTGAGTGGATAGCTGTAACACAATTGCCCGTAGGGTATCGCGATAACTTTAGGTGGTCCATACAACAATTCAATCCGGAGTGATGGCGCGAACTCAGTAAGAGGGTTAATTTTAGCTCAGTGAAAAACAGATTATTGTAAGCCTTGCATGTGTTTTAGGTGTCAGATAGTTCCGTAGATACCACATCCTTCGACTAACAGGCTCCTGCAATTACCCAACAACCTCAACTAATCTGTCCGAAGAGAGATTGTTTTATACTTTTGCACGAAACATCTTGTCAAGAACAGTTCATTGATAGCGTCTCCAACGTCATTCTCCGTCTACTGAAGCACTACGTAAAGTCTGAAGTGCGCCGTAGAAGTACGTGCACTCCACGGAATCTAAATAGCTACATATAAACAAGGAGCCAAGATCGACTTTTTTGAATTCCTGTTCGTGGGTAAACTCCGTAGTATAATTGTGCGTGGAAAGTATCAGGCAAGGTCAGAAAGCTCTCATCCCAAGACCACCCCAAACGCTCGCTCCACAGGAAATACTATCGTCTAGGGATCTTACCCAAACTTACTGCTCAGGTGTTCCGTACAATAAGGGAATTGGCTATGTGAGAGCTGCTGCAAGCAGCAGAAGGGTCAAACGAAATCAATTTACCTGAATTCAGGCTGCGTTCGTCTCCGAGTTCAGCGAAGCGATCGATTTCTACGTTGCGTCTCAAGTTTGTCGTTCATTTCTGATCACCGCCGTGACGTCGTCGTTCGGGTGGTGGCTGGCGTTTTTCGTCGCCGATCAGAACTCCATCTATTACCTGCCAGACGAGCGAATTCACGGTGACAAAGTGCCGAGCAAGGAGTTGTTTTTGTGGGTTTTCAGGCGCGGGTCGCCGTAAAACAACAAACCGTAAAGTGCATCACCGCCGTGGATGGGTACTGTAATTGTAGTTAACAGATTTGTCAAACCCGTTCATTTTCGACCATTCGAAAAGAACAATGCGGACTTTTCATTAGTCGACGATGGAAAAGCTTGGCCGATCGGTCTTTCTGAGGTTCTCGGTACAGTAGCTCTCGGTTGAGGTGCACATAAGAGACGGTAAAACTGCGCACTAAGGTAGGTAAGCTGTTTACTTTCAGGAAATCATGGCAAAAATACGTTCCATCGAAGAGAGTTCTTGAAGAGTGACGAATGGTCCGTGCATAGCTCTGCAATCGTTTGGAAATGTGCGGGAAGAAGCCTCTTATCTGTATAGGAGCTCTATTTGTTCGAACTTTGTACATATCGAAAATGATGAAATTGCTTACTTACATAGAAATGAACGCCCGATTGTGTCCTTAGATAAATATCTCCCTTGAGCGAAAGAGATGGTGGTAGTGTCGCGAAAAAATTGCGACAGAGGAGCTAATGCTTCGCCGACCCTGCGACCTGCTTCTTTTCTTACGACGCCAAACCTGGCCTCTACCCTACCGCTTCCTCCTCCCTGTTCCCCTCTACTGAAGCGTTGTGGCATTCCGTGGAATTAAGGTCGACCTCGAAAGAGAAATTCATTGTTTGTTACTGTGCTTTTTCGCTTTTTCCTCACTAACTTTACTTTTCGCAATTTTATTTGATTCCCAAACAAAACAACACACTAATTCAAAACCACACGCAAATTTTCTACGACTTGAGCCTTTCGGTCCGGTACGTAATCGCTCCGAACTCCCCCTTGCGTCCATAACGGTTTCCGTCTTTCCGCGACAGATTAACTGGCTCCGAACTCATTCACAAAATAGAAAATCTTGACTGCTTTTTCGATATTAACCTCAAAGCCCCCACAAACTCTCAGGGTGCTATACGAATAAACAAAAGTTCAGAAAGTAGCATATTTGAGGAATCTTCTTCGTTATAGAATTATGAAGTGAACAAATAAAAATAAGTTTTTATCATCGTCATCATCCCAAACTCGACGTGGAAATAAAACGAAATCCAGTTCGGGAACTGTTTATCGTGTTTACATTGGGCCGAACTTCTCTACATGACGGGTTTCTTCGTACTCATTTCTACTGGGCAATGGGCTCAGCTCTCCATTCAAACCTTCCATGGCATACGTACTTCCACAGCATTAGAGTGTATCATTTTAACGGTATTATGGAATGCATAATGTAAACCATCGGATAGGTGCCCCTGTTGTCTTCGTTTGCTTGGTGTTTTTTACTCTGTAGCCCTGTCTCAAGTTTATAGCCAGTGCTGCGCAAAGGTTATTGTATGCAACTATAAATCGTGTAGGAAAAGGTGCACAGTGCCATGAGAGTCGTGCAAGCGTAATTTTTCAAGAACATTCCCACGTAGAGAGGTGTTATTTGGCATTACATATTTTATTATATGACACCTTGCCTGTTTGTGTCCAAGCGACATCAAAGTAAATGAAGGCCTAAACACACGAAGTAAGGTTTCCACCCACAAACCGCTGCTCAACAGTCTAGATTTTAGCTCGTTTATGTTCATTTCAATGTCTATCATTTCTCAAAGTTTCTTAGCAACATTTAGTTTCACTTCCAATTCTTTCTTGTTGTGTTCAGCCCGGACTTATGTAAATAATAGCCTAACACATCGATGGAATATGAGTCCACTAGATTATGTCTGTTTGAGAAATAGGGCTCTTAGGTGAATGCACCCTGAAAATACTCCGAAATTTCTGAAGACAGTAGAGTTTCATTAGCAGTCTTAGTCAAAGGAAACCAAGTAAGAATCGAGATGGAAATCTGGCATGCTATTCGAGACTGCTCCAGAAGTATGTCCGCTGCTTTCGTCCTAATTTACGAAATCCCTGTGGTTCTAAATTCCGAAATTTTCTTGAATCCGATCACCACATTTTCCTCACTGAATCCCCTCGACTCTTCTCCATTGCTCTCTTTTACAAGTTAATTTTATGTATGTCTCGTTGGTGCAACCTGGTTGGCGTACCTTCCAATATGTCCCGTGCGTTCTATTTCACCCTTCCAAACACTAATTATTTAAACGGGAGATTACAGTGCGTCTCTCGAAGGTGCTGGTTCACCCGTTTTTCTTCGTTCCCTTGGGAAGAATAGAGAACTTCAATCCAAACTTCTATGAGCGGTACCTTAGAGCAGTGTTGACATAAGTCAAGAAGATTGAATGAAAAGAAATACAGACTTTCTCTTGAGGATATCCATATCAAAAACCAGCAATAATAATAGTTGAAACCCTGCAACACTCTCTCCTTTCGACGGTATTGATCTAAACTGGATGCAGCGTCGAGGGTTTGAGGCCCTCGTCTCTGAAAGCCATTGCGATACTCTTATTCCCGTATTCGTGCCTGGAGACTCCATGCTTTGACAAAAGTTTCACGTCAGATTGAAAGATTGAGAATTGCTATTGAGGCGCTACGATTACTGTCTGCCATATCCTTGTGAGCCTTTATTTACATAGTTATTTAGATACGCTGAAAGGTGTACGCAATCAATACCAGCGATTTACCCCTGGTTACTCCAAGGAATACGTTTCACCTGGCAGGCTTACTGCTTCGAGCGATTGCCCATTTTGCCCGTGAGACCGTTGCGATTTGTGTCTCATTCGAAGAGCTCAAAATGAATGAATACATTCTCGATGGTCCACTAGTCTACTTCCTTGGTGATTCACGTTGTAGTGATCGCGTAGCCACAAAATCGATGAGGCTTAACACTTCTTTCTCAGTGCAATGCTTTATTACACTATCAAAAAGGCTCAAATGGCTAGAAACTACGACCGTAGGCAAAGGCTGTTGTGGTTGTCCGCGAATTACGGCACGTCTAGGCAAGCTTTTTCGCATTGTTCCAGCTTGCTGAATCTGTTACCGTTTCCTCCACATCCGCCGTAGGTGAACGGTATACACATCAAATCGTGCTTGCTGTAGCCGTACCTTCAATAAAAACCGTTAAAAAGAGATAGACATTAAAAAGGAAAGAAGAGATGCTGGTGCATGGTGTTCTCCGCATGTTGGGTTCGAATCGCCATTTAGGAATAGGTTTTGCAACGGAAACCCCCCCTTGTCGCCGTATTAGAAAGGATTCGGATGAGGCAAGCTCCCTATTCCTCTCGGATCGGTCTTCGACGTATAAGCTCTCTGCGAAGATAGAACAGTGACCAGAAAGACCTTGTAGTACTAAGCATCGTAATAGCTAGCCTTCAATCTCAAACAAAATCTTATATTTGGCTCTTCAGTCTAATAATGGCAACATTCAAATAGGTGAAAGGGAGAAAGGTTGAATAGTAATGGCGTCTGCGAAATGACTTGGAGGCGAAATATAACAGTTTAGGTACATGGCGCCTAGTAGTCACGATGGTGTGAGGCAGAGCGCTCTGGATGACGTTACTGGTGGAAGAGCTTGGTAGTGCTCTCAGCGCTCTTACAGCACGACGGCCAATACCGCTGGAACCGA